CAGTTTTCTTCGAATACTGGTAAGGTTTCTGCAGTTTCCTTATCCTCGCAACAAATGTTGGTATTCATTCATGTAATAAATCGGCTGCAGACGTAAAAAATAACAAATGAATTTTCCTATTTCCAATTTTCCTATTATCATTTATATTAAATGTATTTTATTTTTTTAATCAAAATTTGTTTTCTCTCTGCAATTTTTTTCACATTTTTTTTCTCACTGGGATCTAATGATACCTCATATTTGACCGAAGTATATACGTTAGTGAGAATTCATTGCATTTGTCTATTGCGCAGACGCAACTTTATTCCCACAACAGCACATCACTGCCCCCGATCCCCGCGCAAATTCCGCGATTCAGTGGTCTAGTTTCCACCGAAACCCTCAATTCGGTTTCACTCCGGTACTGATCAAATTTAGTACTCTGTTTCCATTGGAAGTAGAGTACTTATAGATCGAAGCGGAAGTGAAATCAGCACAATTTGACAGGTTTCCATCGACTTGAATTTGATTCTACGTCGCATTTGGTGTGAATTAATGCTTCGGTGGAAACTAGACCAGTTGTGACGCGTTGTGTACATGCCACAAGTACTTGCTTATGTGGCTTAGGGTTAAATTACAGTTCTTAAAAAATATAAATCTGGTAACAAATAAAAGTCCCTATCGAGGAGGAGCATGTATAAGCAGAGAAAAATCTGAGAGCGGCCATCCTATTGTAATTTTTTACGACTGTTTTAGTCGCTGGTTTTAGCCGTATTTCCACAAAAGTGGAACTCAAAGGCTGTTCTACATTAAACGCAAGTATCAGATCTCGTGGAATTGACCAATTGCAGAGTCAAATCAGCCAATCGACCAACGTGATTGATCCACTGAACTCTATATACACTGGAATGCGCATCTTCGCCTAACAAGCATAGCTAGACTAGAGTCCCTGGAAATAAGAATTTGGCCAATGTTGTCAAACTTTTTATTGGTTCTGAAACAAAATGGCGGAACCAATGGATAACGTTATAGCCACACATTAAATTTGATTTAAATAACAGTATGCCTGTTCATGGTGGTAGCATTTTTTGCTCTTATAATCTTCTCTTTCTTTCTTTTTCTCCAATGCCCGAATATATATCTTATTTTACGTATAAAATTGGTAATTTAAAGTAATATTAACAAATTAAAACAGCCAACTACGCAACAACCAGTTATTTTCTGCAAAACAAACACATAAATAAATTTGCAATTATTCTATCAAATTGCTAACAAAAGGTTAGAATGTCATTTTTTGTTGCACAGTGTCTGTACATACCTATTTTTCTATCATAGGTTTTATGTCTAATTTCTCCACTTTTAAATAAGTTTTAGATAAGATACAATATATGTTTTTATATATTTCTTCAAAGAATAGCTATCGGGAGATATAAGGAAATCAGCCTTATACGATATAGAATACGATATATATAGTAACTATCGACGCCATTTTGTTTCAGATTAAACATTGGCCAGACTCTTATTTCCAGGGACTCTAAGTGAGACGTGACTCAAATTGATCAGCGCCATTTTTGTTTGGCCTGGTATTTTAGCAAATTAAAAGTGCGTTCCGCGTCCCGCTACAATGAATCAGAAGCATTCTTCTAGCACGCGTAGAAACGTGTTACGGTTGTATAAGTATATGTGAAAAACATCTGTAATATTAGCGACATGAAGTGTTGCGTGCCCGGATGTGGGCAGAGAAGTAAAAAGAAGATTTCATTTCATAGGTAAGGATTTTGGTGTTAAATATATCAGTTTCTGCATGTGTTAACAATGTAGAATAAAAAAATCGTTAGGTTATTTTGCAACATAACATATAATGATATTTTGCAATTAGTGCGCGTGTACTTCGTGCTTTTTTACCATTAAAAAAATAGGTTTCTAAATTGCATTAATACGCAAATTTATTTTTATATTGTATTAACGAGCAAAAGCTCTTTTATACATATTTATAATTAAAATATTATAAATAAATATTTATAATTTTATGTAATTTTATTACTACAAACTTTTGAATAAACTTTTTCTATTTTGGTACTTTTTCATTTGCGTCATTTATATTGTAGCGGAACACAGAACACGCTTCTGATTTGCTAAAATACCAGGCCAAACAAACATGGCGCTATTCAATTTGTGCCATGAATTTTTCTTGATGCGCATTCCAGTGTATATAGAGTTTAGTGGATTGATCAGTTCCACGAGACCTGTTACTTGAGTTTCATGGAGAACGGCCTTTGAGTTCCACTTTTGTGGAAATACGGCTAAAACCAGCGGTTGAAACCGTCGTAAGAAACTACATAGACGTATAAGAAATAGACTGCGCGTGTGAGAGGGGAAGTGAGTCAAACTTCGGAGTGAGACAGATGCTTTCACCCGAGTCTCTGTCTCTGTCTTTCAGTATCTGGAGTGGGGACTCCCCACTCNGGAGACAACTCCATAGAATGTCTATGCTGTCAATCGCTTACTGTCGCCCCTTCATCGCTCGATGCTCCTCTATTGCCCCACTACGCTATTTCTCATTCCTACTACTTTTCTTGTCCGCCAATCACCGCGTCATTAAACAAGGATAGAGACTCGGGTGAAAGCATCTATCCTCGTCCGAAGTTTGACCATTCTTTCTGCACAGAAAAGATACGGGACGCGCAGTCTATTTCTTATATGTCTATGAGAAACTACAATGGCATGGCCGCTCTCAGGTTTCTCTCTGATATGACCATCGCCCAGAGGCGTTCCAATTGCGCCTGCGCGTTCTCAGTGTTCGTTTCTATGAGCTGGTCATCTTCTCGCGCGCGCTGCTCTCTGTCGTGCTCGCTGTCCGCCAATCCGATTTTGTTTTGCGGAAATGGTTTGGCCGACGGTTGCAATTGCAACATAGTATACATTCTGATTGGTCAATTTTCTTACGGTCACGTCTTACGGTCTTAAGTAATTTTATGTGTGAAGGGCCTTTTAGGCCCATTCTACAATAAGATATTAGTTTATTCGTAAGCTGTAAGTCGTAAGAAATGAACCAATCACAATCGATTATTCTTCTGTAATTTGTCTGTGATTGGTTCATTTCTTACGACATACAGCTTACGACTAAACTAATATCTTATTGTAGAATGAGCCTTACAATAAAATATTAGTAATAAATCAGAAGTCAGGAGCAAGAAATCAACCAATCATAGTCCAATTACAGAAGAATAATCAATTGTGATTAGTCAATTTCTTGCTTCTGATTTATTACTAATATCTTATTGTAGAAGGCTCTTAACTAATCACAATTGATTATTCTTTTGTGATTTGACTGTGATTGGTCAATTTCTTGCTTCTGACTTCTGATTTATTACTAATATCTCATTGTAGAAGGCCTTTGATGGTGGAAATGCAGGAAATACAGGAATTGAAAGAAGCTGAGAAAGTGCAGACAACTGTCTGCTACTGCGCATGCTCCGCAACAGATTGGGGAATCTTCTCATTTTTTTTTTTGCACTTTCTCGACTTCTTTCAATTCCTGTTTTTTCTGAATTTCAATTCTTGTATTTCCTGCATTTCCTGCGTTCGTCCGTTTTCTCTTGCTTAACTGGACACAGTCCAGGACAAATGCTGAGTTGTAAGTCTTGTCAACACTCGACGTTCATTTTTTGGTTCTAAAAGTAACAGCCAATCATGTTCGATCGCTATAAAGCAGCTTGTTCTGCTGAACGCAGCAATTGTTTTGCTGAACGCGGCCACTGCTCTTCTCTACTTTAATCGTTCATTTCCGTTTCCGTCTGCAAAATATGGAGTTAACTTGAGCGGATTCGGTGGGATCGTCGTTTATTATCTGTGTATCGTTGTGCTGGTCACTCAATGTCGTTGCATGATCGCATTCAGTCTTGAGGAAAACGAAGTAAAGAATACGTTGACGTTACGTTCCACTACAGGGACAAATAGTTGCAAAAAAACACACGATCGGAATTGTTTGCTGATTCGAGCGTTGCCTTTCCGTTCGTTGACGAATATTTTTATCATATATTCGAACGTTCATCGAAAAGAGCAGCAAAATGACGGATAGTCGTAAGTATTATATACGAAAATTATAGTGCATTGAGAGATAAGACGAGATAATCACTCATTTGCATAGATGACAAATTCAAAGTATTTTCATGCTTGTACATTCTCTCCTCTCCTCCCTCTTGCGTGCGCGCGCGCGCGCGCGTGTGTGTGTGTGTGTGTGAGAGAGAGAGAGAGAGAGAGAAAACTAGAAAGCAAATAATTGTATAATTAACACCAGTTTTTGCAATGTTATATACAAAAAAACTAGCTAGTGTTAGATAATGGACTGTTGAGCTTAATTACTAATTACTTTTATTGAAAAAATATAGCAGTATTCTTAACATGTTAATGATAAAATCTGGTTATTTGTATACATTAAATAATTTTAAACAATATTTACTTCATATGTAAGTTAATAATATTTAAGTTGTATGTATGAAAAATTATACATGAAAATGCACACTAAAATTAACTTAAAATATTTGTGTTGAATTTTTTGCAGAATATTCAAATTATCAACAACAAGGTTATAACCAATATAGTCAACCACCACCTTCATCAAGCCAGGATACATCATATCCTTCTCATTCATCTGGTGGATCTGGTAGTGGCTACAATCAATATAGTCAGCCACCGCCAAGTAGCAGTAGTAACTATAGCAATTATAATAGTTATAACTCTAATAGTCAAGACTATCAATCTCAAAGTCAAGGCAGTTATGGGCAGAATAGTTATGGAGGATCAGGCAGTGGAGGAGAAGGCAGTAATTACAGTGGAAACTATGGACATGGAGGAGGAAGTAGTGGCTATAGTCGTAGCTCAGGTGGTTATCATGGAGGTAAAATTTGTTACATTATTTCCTTGCGTTACAGGTTTTCTTTTGTGCTCTGTTAGTCTATCAAACATGGTTTAAACATGTAATTTTCTGTTCTGAAGTCATCAGTTTATTTTGATTGGATTGAGTTTTTTTTCTTAGTTTATGATTATTTATTCTTTTATGGTTCTTAATCTATGATTATTGTTTTGGTTTTTATGTTGTAGGCCAAGGAGGTAGTGGAAGTGGTAGATACAGCGATCGTGGCGGTTATGGAGATCGCTCTGGTGGTGGTTACAAGTAAGTATACATAATTTTTTATTTTAATTTTGTAACATATGATGAGACAACAACGGAGTGTTAGACTCCAAGGTGTGTTACATTAAAGCCAACCACCACATTCGCAGTAAACAGTTTGTTGAAGCAAAGTCATAAAAGGTATGCAATGAAATTCTTAACAACAGTAATGGAAACTCTTGTATCATCATCACGAAACAGATTTATGCCCTATCGGGCGTTAATATGTTTGAAGTATGCCTACAGGTTTAACAGACAGGTATAACTGTGGTATTAAAAAAAAAGGTAAAAAAACATGTTGACAATTGACGTAAAAAGGCTATATAATGTCGACACTTTATTTCTGAAATATGGCAATACACAAAATATACACAAACATACTTGCTTATATACATGCATATACATGTACGTAACATGTACCATAGTTTTATACAAAGGTCTTGAATCAATTAAAACTGTAAAAATGACTGATGCCACTGAGGCTCCTCTTGTGATATATTGTCTTTCTTATTAAAAAATATTAGGCAGCTATAAGATATATTTGGTCTTTGTAAGAGATTACATTATCTGTTACTATTAAGTAGGCTTTTTTTAAACAAAACCAATATAAAAATAAGTTCCCGAAACATGATAAAAATGTAATATTATATTCCCACATTGTTAACAAAATACTACTTTGTTGTATCTTAATATCTGAAGCTAGTATTTGTATTTTATATATATTTTATACATATTCTTACATATCTCGGATAAAATAATTTTTTTTATATTAATAACTATAATAATATTTAATATACCTAATATATAATATTAGTATTAGTTGAATAAATAAATTAAATACTCGCTTAAAGCACAAATACATAAAACAAACCTTCAAAGTATGTTATGTATAAAATGACTATTCTTTAACACGTTGAGTGCCGTAAGGGTCACTGGTGACCGGCAATTAATAAAAATACAGAATTGAAGTAAATGACAATACTTTTAAAATGTTCAATTATATTTTTGTTATTAGAAGGATGTAAAGAAAATAATAATAATATACACTAATACACCTGATAACATATAAAAATAGTTTTATTTATATCGTGTACATCAAGTTATACTTTAAATCAAGTTATACATGCATGTTGCGATGTGTCGTATTAAAACGGCAAACAGAAGAGACGAATTGGTACAATCTCCACAATATGTGACAACTGTTTTTGTCTGATTTTTTGCTTTTGTTCTATCTAATGTTTTTGCGTTTTTTTTATAACATCTTTTACAAAATTGGCGAGCGGTTCTTACTTGTCTCGGTATTTCTTTTATTTTGTGACGTTTTTTTAGTGAACTCAAATTTGAAGAAACAAAACCGTTAATTTTGCTATTTTGACATTTTGTTAAGTGCATCAAAGAATGAGCGAAATAAGAAACGATTGCGACAAATGACTTTCGTAAACAATAAGTGATATTGCGTCAGATCGCACTACAGTGCCGCAGGGGTCACCGGTGATTCCTAGTAAACTAAATGTATAAAACATGGTAATGAAGGTCAACTTATCTATTGTAAATAATATTTTATAAAAATATGCATTGCATAGCAAAAAATTCATCCCGGCGCCGTGAGGAGGTCACGCAAAATTGGTGCGGCACTCAACGTGTTAAAGTTAGAAATTTCCATGCTCTAAGTGCAACAAAGAATTAATGCAAAGTGACCGTGAATACTTAACGTCAACTTTTCATAGCCGATATTGTGTGATAGTATAGTGTAATTGCAAGTAATCTCTTACTTTTTTAAGAATGACATCCAAGTCAAAAGTCAGGAATATTTTTTTTCGAGATTTATTTGTCGTTAAACATGTGTTACTTTCGATCTATGTTAAAATAATACTACAGAGTTGTAGTCTTTTCTGTGACTTAATTGTCATTTTCCACGAGATAATGTCTGCATGCATAAAACGAGACTGACGGAACGTGACTTGACGGCGAGACGACCGGTTTGATCCAAAATTATATATGATGTGGTGACTGCACAGACATTCAGACAGATAGGTACAGCAGTCAAGAAGAAAAGGTGGCAAGCGGCATATGCGATTCGCCATGCGGCGATCACAATCGTTCACAGTCCATGACTTCAACTCATTGGTATATCTGCTTCTGTGTTTTAGCAGTGGCGGAGGCCGTGGTGGTTATAACAAAGGTAAATGCACCAGATTGTTTGTACTGGTCTGGTGCTAAATATTCTAGTTTTCACTCTACTATTTACGACCTTAAATGCTCGGTTAGGTTATTCGATATTTTTATATGAAAGGGCTGCTATATACATATACAAATTGTGTGTGCGTACGTGCGTGTATGTGTGTATGTGTGTGCGCGCGCGCGCGCGCGTGTGTGTATGTATGTATGTATGTATGTATGTATGTATGTATGTATGTATGTATGTATGTATCTATGTATGTACGTACATACGTACATATATATATACATATGCATATATATCACACACACACACACAAAACACACACACACATATATATGTATATATACACGCAATATTTTGTTAGGGAGGTACAATATCTCTCGATGGTAATTTTCACGTTATACAATGTATATGATCTTCATTGAAGCTTATTGAAGCGAAAAATAGAATAATAAAATCACTAAGTTTTTCAGTGTTAAAAAAATATATCATAATCAATTATATACTATTATCACCAATTGCTTTTTTTCCTATACAATAATATGTTATTTTTTCTTCATGTTATTTTACATATATGAAGAAGAACTTTTATATAAAAACACAACATTAGGGTATTTCGAACTATTTACATACTATAAGATTACCATTTCTTGCCAAGCTCCGAATTGCGCTCATGATGACGCTGTTCTATGTGAAACTCTGTGTGGAAAAATCTCTTAAAAGAGATCAAAGGGTTTGTCTCAAAAGGTGTTGCGAGTGAATATTACGTTTGTTCTGCAAAATCCAGCAAAATAAAACTAATCGTCATATTTCGAATTTTGATATAATTGCATATTGACACATTTTTTATATGTTGTGACGCGCGTCTCTTTTATAGATGTTCAGGTTTTCAGTAATAATTTAAATTCTGATCAGCACTTATCTAATATTAATATATACATTGTACAGTATTCTTATTTCTTCGTGACTCTGTCATGTCAAAAGATAGAATATTTGCAACTCAAGGCTTACAAAAACAATAATAATCTGTAAAGAGACAGACCGCTTTCATTTTAGAGGACACAACTCCAAATTTCTGCTCTACAATCGAGCTACCGTAGTGTGATATGAAAGAGGCGTGTCACATCACAATGTATAAAGTTACAAGCAAAACAAAGAGTAAATAAAAGGCAGCTGGTGAGCTACGTGCTGAGATTTGTGATTAAATCTTAGGGTAAAAAATAATGTTGCAGCCCTTTTGTATGTTCAGCTGCAACCTTGTGTATTTCATATGTATTGTGTTAGGTGTTGATACAAATATTAAATTGCTACTAATACATTGTGTTCATACACATTGTGTACGTACATTAAAATAAAATGTTATATCACGTAAGCGTACAAATGCGCAATATTCAAAATACAAACATCAAGTTATTTTACAAGAATGAATGAAAATATGTTGGAAATTATAAATTTTATTTAGCAAAAATTACATTAAAAGTCAAAAGATAAATTCTGCATTTCAGAATATAGAAAAAAATAATGAGTAATAATTATGCGTAATAGAAGATAAATATGTTATACATTATTAAGTCTTACGTGAGCCTCTTTAACACGCTATATAACAGAAAATCGTTCCTTGCTCTTACTGGTTTATACAAGATTAACTTTTCAAATTAAATTGATTGTGAGTCGAAAATAAAATGTGTAAACCTCATACGATTAGTTGATCATCAATTTCTTTAGTCTCTTCTCGTATTTTAAAAACGGCAGAAGAGTCGTTCAATTAAACACATAAATGTGTAATTATATACATATAAAATTATATTATTAAGTCGATACAATCATAAATATGTGTAATAGATTAATGTAATCATAAAGACTATTAGAAAAGTGTGGAAACTAACATTTCCCCGAACACAACTTATCTTTTACTAAGGACATGTCTCATTATGGGAAATATACAAGAAAATTAATTTACACAAACATAATTTTATCGAGAGTTGTGTGATATATCTTCGGATAAGATATACGGACAGTGTTTCTGAACCAATTTTGTTTTATGATTTGTAATTTGTTTTAGTGCTATGACGGTTTTAATAAGAAAAACTTCCGAACACTTTCCTTGTATCTTTTACATTTTAGGCTATAATAGTAGCTTTGCGGTCGGTAGATAAGCAAATATTTTTATTTTCTTGGACTTTTTATGCGACGAATTATGACTTCCGGTCTATTACAGGAGGATACAATGACCGTAACAGCGGTAGCGGTGACGGAATGGTTACACAAGAGGATACTATTTTTGTGTCCGGTATGGATCCATCGATTTCCGAAGAAGAGATTTGTCAACATTTTGGAGCTATCGGCGTTATCAAGGTATGCGTTTGTTTTTGAATTGATCGTTTTCGTGTATAATACTGTCTTTCAAATAAAGGATTACAATAATTATTCGTTTTTTTTTCGAGATTCGACTGTCATGTGCCATCAAAGGTAACATTACATTTTTAAAAGTTAAAAAACTCATTGTTTTCTAGAATGACAAACGCACGGGTAAACCAAAAATTTGGCTATACAAAGACAAGAATACTGGAAAATCAAAGGGTGAAGCGACAGTCACTTACGATGATCAGAACGCCGCACGTTCGGCCATTAACTGGTTTGATGGTAAAGATTTTAAGGGTTGTACGATAAAAGTGCAAATGGCACAACACAAGAGCAACTGGCAGGGTAATCGCATGGGAGGTGGTCGCGGCGGCGGCGGTGGCCGTGGTCGTGGTGGCGGCGGAAATTTTGGTAGTCGTGGTGGCGGTGACCGTGATGATCATCATCGCGGTGGAGATGATCGCCGCGATGGTGGCGGCCGCGGAGGCGATTGGAGGTAAATACAAGATTGTCTTATCAAAAACACCCTCTCTGTATGTGTGCGTACGTGCGTGTGTGCGTGCGCGCGCGCGCGCATATACGTACAGATATACAGCAGGGTAATTGCCGTAACACCGCTCGTAGACGGATAGAAGAGATTATTTTCAGTTAAAGAGTTCTATATCACTCTGCAAGATTCGCAATAATTAACGAATGTTAATTAATAAAGATCCGCGAATGAGCGTGCATCCACGTGCGTAATGACAACTCAGTGTTTCGCGCACTCACGCCGTAACAACAGCTAATATATAACAGCATATAATGTGCGTAATATATATATATATATATATATATATATGATGTATATGTAATTTATAATTTATCTATTTGTTTTATGGTGTTTTTTTCGTAAGTAAGTAATTATAAATGGAAACAAACTCAGTTTTGACACATCTTGACATTAGACTTATTTATTTCAATAAAAAAATATGGTCCATGCTTTCACGTTGAGGGCCATGAGGGTCATCGGTGACCAGCTCTCAACTTGCCAGTGGCGCCGTAGGAGTTATCGATGACTGGCGATGCCAACCATAATAAAAACACATAATTCAAGTAAATACTTCTTTTAATATTATCATCGTTATTATAAAAATGTAAAGAAACTAATGCTATAAACACTATAAAACATTTAAAATAGTTTTATTTAAAATCGTACACGTTATACGCGCATGTTACGATATAAAATTTCCTTCACTATCCGATGGTATTCGACGGCGTTTATAACAAGATGGTAAAAACGAGTCGTTAAATAAATGACTTGACACACGATCTTTATTTGACGACATATTACTTTTAAAGGCTATTTAAAAAATGAAAAATAAAACAAATGCAAAAATTAATATAGCATGTAGAAATATATAACGGATATCATTACCTAATAGTTGGATAGACTCAACAATCACAGAATAAGCGAAATAAAATCAACTGAGACAACTGACTTTCGTAAACAATAAGTGAAATATAGCGTGAGATCGAAGAAATGCACTACAGCGTTGTAGAGGTCACCGATGACCTCCAGTAAAATGAATGCATAAAATATGAGAATGTAGTTCAACTTATCTGTTGTGGATATTTTACAATAATATGCATCGCATAGCAAAAAATTCATTCCGGCGCCGTGGGAGTCACGTAAAATTTGCGCGGCACTCAATTTGTTAACCGTCGATAGTTATTTATCTTTATGTATATTACATGCTGTTTAGCTCCTCCCTATTCTATTGCTACTGCATGAAACACTAAGCTGTTATTTTGCACGTGGATGGACATTCATTTGTGGATTTTTATAATATCTCGTTAATTATTACGAATTTTGCAAAGTGGTATAGAACTTTTTGACTCACTTATAACTCTTTTTATCTGCCTATGAGCGGTTGTACGGCAATTATCGGACATTCTGTTTATATATATGTGTGTGTGTGTGTAAACAAAACAAACTAATGTTTGAAATAGGTGTCCAAACCCTGATTGCGGTAACACGAATTTTGCCTGGCGAGATCAGTGTAATCTCTGCAAGAGTTCAAAACCGGAAGGTCTCGGTTACGGTGGTAGTAGTGATCGCGGCAGAGGAGGCAGCGGTCGCGGTGGTGGCGATCGTGGTAACCGAGGAGGTTTCAGAGCTGGTGATCGAGGTGGACGTGGAGGTGATAGAGGTGGCAGAGGTGGCGGCGGTTTCCGGGGCGGAGACCGAGGAGGTCGCGGAGGTCGAGGTGGCCCCATGAGAGGAGGCGGCGGGTAAGTTTTTTAAAACTCTTAGCTTTGTGCGCATGTATAATTTTTTAACTCTGTCAAATGTCTTTATTTTAAACTTAAATAATAATAGAAACATATACATATATGTATATTGATAACGCATTAATTTACACGTTTTATTTTAGCCGAGGCGACAGGGACAGGGATCGTCAGCGACCGTATTAATTTTTCATATTTGTACACATATGACGATCGCCATATACTAAACGACTTGTACACATTCTGTACACAATTTCAGTGCTTGTACATTTCGCTTAGCGTAGCTTCTATGTATTCTTACTGTCTCTTTCTTTGTGCGTACCCTTTTTATATTCATCAAAAAGTATAAATTGTATGTTATGTTCGTACATATAAAAAAATTCGTATTATATACATATATATATATATAGTATAACAATATAATCTTGAGTAGACAAATAAACAAAACTTCTTTCCTTCTTTCAATAACTATAAACCCACATCGACTCATGTAACCTTCCTCTTTCAATTTCATATTTTTGGATATTATTTAAATCTGTGTATTATCAGTTACAAATCAATCAATAAACGAGACTTCGAATACTATATAAATGCCGCAACAAATTCTTATTTATCATTCATTATTGTGTTTATTGCGAAATATTCGTGTTCGAAAAAAAGAAAAGAATTCGGAAAATTTGTTTATTGAAAGTTGAAAATATAATACAATCAATTTATTTTATTACACTTATACGTATGCAAATCTTCTGGCGAAGTATAACTTAGACATGATTGAAATAAACATGTCTCTATAATTGAATGTAAAAAACCAAAGTCCCATAGTAAACAAATTGTTAACATTTACTGTTTTTTTTATTATGAGAAATAGTATATTGGTTTCATGTTTGTGTATGTGTATACATACACATACGACAAATGTATTGGTACTTGTATATAATTTTTCAAGTATGTCTTTATATATATGTACATAGGTACCTAAGTATGGATAGAGTACATGAAGACGTCTAGTTTATGGATTTACTTGAATGCATAGCAACCACTCATTTTTCTCTTCGCTCAATCTTTCCGTTTTCGTGAATTTCTCAACTCCTAAAAGAAACAAAATGTGTATTTCCAATATCTTTTAACTAAAGATAATTGATTAATTTCAGTTCAAACTTATGTTTTTGTAAACTTTTTCTGTACATAAGATATTTTTGAAATAATTGATGGCAGTCTGAGAGCAAAAATGTGTTTGACATCAATGCAACAAATTTTTTAACAATAACTTACCTTTTGTGTAAGTAAAATAAGAAGATGTCGGAAAACTTGTACAAAGTCGATAAACAAATCCAAGGAATGCATGATGAAGTCTGTATTGCCCATGTGATATTTCTCAATAATCAGTTGTGTGTCATAAATAACAAAACCGCACATCATAAATAATCCCAGATATAAGTATGACTGGCTGATAAAAGATAGACCCAGAAACAGATTGGCAAAAGAGAAAAGAAGCATGATATTTATCATACTTGATAAAATACCACCAAGATACAACCAATGTCCACGTGGAGCTAGAAGTGCTGAGATACTGAAGGAAACAAAAATCACTGTTGTGCCTGTAATCATATTTTATTGTAAAAAGTCAACTGTAGATAATTTAACTACAGAATATATCAACTTAAAAGTATATAATATATCAACCTAAACGTATATAATATAGTTATAATATATATAATATACGCATATAATATAGTATGTCTGAAATAATCTCTTAGTTTATATGATAAATAAATCGTAACTAATATTTAGAAAAGAAATTTATAGGAGAAAACAAGTTCACGGCGCTCAGTGAATCGGACTAATCACTTCAATTAAAAGAATTCTAAAATATGATATGTACTTATTACTTTTTGTTTTCATATAAAATTTAAAATAAAAAATCTAAATAATGTAATGCATATATAAATAACTACAAAAAGGTATATTCGATGAAAAACTAATTTAACATAAAGATATTAATAAATATTCTTGAGCGTCAAAAATTACTCTGTTTTCCTTTGATTTTTATTTAATGAGAAGAACATATTTTAGTTTATTCATATAAAATTTTATGACTAATAAAAAACGTATTATATATGAAAGAATTGGGAGTAGAACAAGATATGTAAGTGAAAAAATAACTTTACAAATGTTGTTTATCTTAACTGAGTTATTTATCTTGTTTTACATAAAAAGTCTTTCGTATACTTGACACCTTGTTTTATCAGATCTTTTAAATAGTTGGTATATAAGATTATATATTTTTTTATAATACTTCATTAATTAATAAAAGATAAGATTACTGTTACTTACTGATTAATGTTGTTATCACTATACTTGGATTTATGCTGATTACTAATTCAAGTAATGGACCAAGCCCCAAACCAGACAAAAATGTAAATCCCAAAAGGTAGCCAAAACGTAATTTTTTATTTTTGTCATTATTTGGTGTTGTCATCAGTGCGATAAGAAGACCCAATGCACCAAAAGTTGTCAGCATACTAGACTGCAAGAACTGTGTGTACATGTGTACATAAGCCCCTGCAGCTGCTGATAAAGTAGACAAGGATAAGCAAGCATAAACATTTTTTAGATGTTGCTTCACCGGTGCATTTCTGTAAATAAAATTGAAATAAATCAAATCAATTAATTTTAATGTATCATATATTATGATTTATTTTGTCACAAAAAATTCTTATATATCACAAAAATATACCAATGCTGCAAGAATAAATTTTGCAGATAAAAGAAAAATATATAATAATATATATTTAAAAAATATAGTTTTGAACAGTTTGTATTTTCTGAACAAATCTTTACATCTCTCTTAAACAAAATTCAATATCACATTTGTGCACAATATCGTTATGACTCTGATTCTTAACATTGAAAATTTTTAAACATTAAAAGTGTAAATTTAAGCTTTGTTTCACATTTTGAAGACATAAATCATTAAAGAAGGCATCTTGAAACAAAAATATGATTAAAAAATTATCAAGTCTTTTAAATAATAATATAATAAATTTGTTACAAGGAGAAACTAAGTTTATTTCACAATATTGTAAAAAAAAAAGTTATGTTTTATTATATCATGCTCTTCCTCACTCCTTTGTTCCTCTTTTCTTCATACTTCTAATGATTGGAAAAACATACTTTTTAACATTCGAGACAGACGACTCACTTGTGGGTCATGCAATGTCTCAATTGTTTAACTCGTGACTCAGCATGTGGGTCATAATATCATTAAAATAAGAATTTGGCTACTGGGGATAGTTTTGTTATAACACGTTACGTTCAATTACAAATGTAAAACATTAAGATTGTATTTTAGTATTAATCAGATAGACCGAAGATCTATAATTCATGTTTTTTTATACTATATCCCTTCACCTGTCGACCTAAAAAAAACCTACGAGTACTGTAGAATAGGTCTGTGAGGCCCACGTTTTAAGAACAAATATCTCCGCAAAATATCAAAACTTCTTCACTTCCTTTTTTAATCGAAAGTCTGAACGATTCAGCGTCGATAAAAAAAAACAAATTGAAAAAATCTCTAGTAGTTTTGAAGATATAAGCATTTAAAAAACTAAGTTTTTCTAGAAACGTCCATGCGCAACTTTTGAGTGGGTCTGGGAGACCCAGTCTACGTACGAAGAGATATAATTCATGTATTATGTGTATGTATGCGTATTATTTCCAAGAAGATATTTATTGTTTAATGCATGATCTACACAGTATTTTCTCTCTCATTTTCTCTCTCTCTCTCTCTCTCTCTCTCTCTCTCTCTCTCTCTCTCTCTCTCTCTGTCAAGCGCGCGCGCGCGCGTGTGCACGCGCACACACATATGTACAAGAGTTACACTATATGTTTTTACATACATTAAAATAAGTATAGATAGCATGACACAACAATTTTTTATATTCTAAACAATGTTTATATACTTGTGTGTATAGTTTAGAAAAATTCATAATAAAATATCTTAATTCTCTCTTTTCTTCCTACTTCTCAATATTTAAACATTCTTATGTGTGAATATAGTAGGAAAGAATTGTGTGGAGAGAAAGTTTTTCTCCCATAATGGAAATGTCAAACAAAATTATTTTCATTATATATACGCTGCCTGCTTTCACTATCGTAATTGCATCGTCTTTGTCTACGGAGCAAAGGTGCACGTCATTAATGTTCTAGAACGCGTATCACGGAAGGAAGGTCATCGATCACCCATAATCATAAACACAAATAAGTAGATGTGTCATGTTTATTGTAAATTATAATTATATTTTGGACAACCGTGAAATAAAAACAAATGGATTGCATTTACACCACAATATCTGAATAGACTAACATTTCATTGCGAAAGAAACATAAAAACAAAGTACGACACGTAAAAGTACTAAAAATACTTACAATGTGTTGCTGAAGGAATTTACAAAAGTGTTCAGAACTTTCGCCATAATTTTGCTGGTACTCTATGCCTCTTGACTGTTGACGAGCACACGCAATTATCAATAGTGAGCTCAATTCAATGACTAGCGTTTCACCAGTTCCTACTATGCGCAGAGTGAAATTGTAATCGTGGCGTACTAACAAATTCGACGAATTGTATGTGCGTACGTAGCTGATCCTCGACGGAGACACGTCAGTGATATATCTCTATACATACACGCTACCTGTAGTGGGGGCTAATAAATTGCTTCGTGCTAAGGGTCTTCGCACAACCTCTTTTGTAGCGCGTTACGTTAAGTACTGGCCATAAACTTAGGGAGAGGTCAGGGCGATGTCCCATTGAGCGGAAATATATAGCGGAACGGAATGTGCGGAATCAACTCGACCAATCATAGCCATTCCGTTTTCTTTCCTTCGCTTTTTCTGTGGTTACGATTGGTCGAGCTGGTTCCGCACATTCCGTTCCGCTATAGATTTCCGCTCAATGGGACATCGCCCTCAGATGGTGCGGAATGTGAAATTGACGGAATGAATTTCGGCCAATCATAGACATTTTCCGGGATGAACGGAGCTTGCGGAATGTCTATGATTGGCCGGAATTAAATTCCGCATTACGCACGTTCCGCACCATCTGACTTCTTCTTTAGATTCGTACTTTGACTATGGTCTAGTTTCCACCGAAGCATTAATTCACACCTAATGCGACGTAGAATCAAATTTAAGTCGATGGAAACCTGTCAAATTGCGCTGATTTCGCTTTCGCTTCGATCTATAAGTACTCTACTTCCAATGGAAACGGAACACTAAATTTAATCCGTACCGGAGTGAAACCGAATTGAGAGTTTCGGTGGAAACTAGACCTATGAGTGCGTTCAAACAACTCAACAGTTGCACAATGATTGAGAGATAATCACTTATGATTGGATCATACTTTTGAAACCGGATAGGTTTTAAAGAATAGTCCTATTATAAGTGATGATCTCTCAACCGTTGAGTTTTCTGAACATAACCTATATAGAGAGCTTTTTAGCTACACAGCGTGTCACTGAATCGCGGAATAGGTGTGACCGGAGATGCACTCGGGTGCAGCTCGGCCTGTTCTTTTTATTGAGTTTTATTATCACGGTCGCCAGTCGGTTTTAACTTCTCCCCCGACAAGTTTAAATATTGATTACTCACTTTTATCACCTGGTTTCGTCACGTCTATCACACACTGTTTTCGAAACGTTTGATTCAGCCGCTCGCACTTATCTGGCTCATCACTCAAAATTTGCCGTTGGTAATTCGATTATAATGACCCCGTCTTCATGCTACTTACCGCTTTCGCAAGACTCACCTTTGATTGGTTTGATACGAAATACCTATTGGACATGACGAATCCCTTTCCGTTACCAATATGCTCCTTGGAATGTGGCCAATTGCTTTAATGCGATGCTGCTCCGTGCTCTGCTATTGGCTATTCCGAGACAGTCGGCTGGCAGTCGAGATGGCGCTGCCTGTTCAGCCAATCCGGTCCTTCGATCGCAACACTCCGTGCGCAGGCGGGAGTCGGGTATAAATGTTCAATAAATAATCACCGCTCAAATGATTTTTTGAATTTATTTACATTCACACAAGTCCCGTTACTTTACACTATGTTACAAACGATCACTTATCTCGACGTATCGCCTATCTAGCTTACACATTTACAACGCGTTTCTTAATCTCTCGGTCTGATGTGATTTGTGACTATTCACCAAGTTAAACAAAAGAAAAATTAAAAGTATAATAAAATAAACTTTGAATCAGCCCGATTATACGCTTTCAGCTTTATTGATTTCGACCCGCAGGTACTCTGGCTGGTTGGTTGTCGCCGCGACTGATTGATCCTTTTCCTGGTTTTCGCTCGTGCTTTTATACTTGGCTTGCCCCTCTCAAGCACCTTTCTGGATCTTTCTCGCATTTCCACTCTTGTCCTGTTTGCCAGAAACTTCGAGATCTTTCCTTGTTCATTTATTTTGCTTCTCCATTTTTCGGATTTATGGAGAACTTGCTATCTGGCAAAACACGCTTCTACTAGAATTTTCTACCATTGTAACATAAACAAACCATTTCGTAACTGTTATTCCTAATCGAGTAATCCAGAATATTCTGGCACTCGGTATAAATATTTTTCTTATATTAATCAAACAAAATTTCGCTCATCGAATTAATAAACTATTTATCTATTTATATATTCCAAAATAATACATTTGCTTAATGATATCCTTATTAATCAAAAGAAAAAAAAGAACAGAAAAAAAAATAACAAACTCTATATAAACATAAACATAAACATAAACATAAACGCGTTTCATCTTGTTTTAGCCTTCCCGGGCTCCCCACCATGCGTCTTCTTGGGCAACAGTGGTGCATTCAGAAGCCTCTCCTGCTTGGTGCTGGTACTGCTGCTCCTGAATGTACCGCATGATTCTTTCGAGCTGAGCCTGCGCTTCACTCGCGGTATTTTCGTCGGTACTTCCCTCTTCTATGTTGCTACCACTGACGTCGGACTGGAGCGCGCGTTCTTGCAATTCTTGCAGTTCGCGGAGCAACTGCACCTGCTCTTATTCACCGTCGGTCGCATAGGCACGGGGATCGAAGGGCAAGCGGGCTGTATGATTGGGTGTGTTTAGCCGAAGTTAGCGCTACGTAGCGCTACGTAGCGGCTTCATGTAGCAGTTGCAACTGCTGCGTTACTTCTGCTGGACAGTATTGCTACGCGCAGCGCTTTTTGTAAGCGCAAATATGTTTGTATACAAATCGCCGTT